GCTCGCCCCTTTTTATCCAGTCTCCACCACGCACCCACTGGTGGGCCGAGATAGTGAGCCCACGGTTTGAGGCAAAGTCAGCTTCAGTTAGGCCCTTTCAGACGCTAGCTCTTATCGTTTTTTGAGGTAATTGATGTGCCCAATAGGCTACTGATTGTGGGCCTGCACCGGTTGTTTTCAATGGCAATGCCTTGTCCATGGTGTAGGGCTAGCTAACCGTTCGTCAAGGTAATATCATAATAGGTTTAATTATACAGTATGCCAAAGAAGCTTGATCAACAAGTTACCAAAACCATTCATCGCCTGTGACTCATTCACTCAACCGAACTAATTAGTTATCATTTGTTGGGATATTTGGTTTCTGTGTTTTGTTAGTGGATTGGGAGATGGGTTTGCGAGTTACCGTCGAGCGAGAAGAATTGGGTCGGACACATTGTGTAATGCAAAAATTGTAAACGTTTATGAACTAAACCAATAACTTGGTTAAACTAAATTAGAGAGCCGAATATCGATTGACATGTTTGTTTGGAGATTTTAGCTCGGTTGGTTTTCTAGTTTGTTGAAAGTTTACTAATGAAGTTGATTAACAATTAACCCCCCAAAAATTCAATGATGATTTAAACAATTAATATAATGATCGAAAAGAAAGATAATGAAGGAATCTGGAAAAAGAAACTAGAGATGGGAAACCTAGCCAGATGGCAACAACTTACAAAATGACAGTAACCATGAATTGACACACCCATGCCCCTGAGATATTGAAAGAAAGCCGGATGGCGCTAGCTTATTTGCTAGTTGGCCGAAGATCTTATTTCAACGTCAGCTGGCCTTAATTTCCATATTTGATACTACGTGGCCAGTATTGTTTATTTATTATTACTAATTAAGAAACTAGCTGGCTGATGAATGATGACTAGGACAATATAAAGATGTACAGCTGGAGCCTGGAATGTAATTCCTTATATTTATTAATTAATTAATTACCGCTAGAATTTTACGCTAGAAATCTCGTGGAAAACAAGCAAATCGAAGCAAAAACACCTGCCGAAAATGCGTTTATATGTACTATGTAGGAGACTTGTGACCTGGATTTCGCCTGGCTGTACCTGTACGTAGCTGGGTTAATGAATGAATATGAATGAATGATATCAAATCGGTAACTGAATATGGTTACCTTAGTGCAATGTTAAAGTACGTAATTAATGGCCAATACATATTTACCGCAGTAATTCGAAATTAATGTTTAAAATGACAGCCAGCAAACTCAATCGCAATCGCAAAGTAAATTTGAACCGTATATAGGTATAAAAATGCGGGCGCGTAATTATGTGAGAATGGAATATTGTGCTCAAAGAAAATAAATAAAACTTAACGGGTCGCATTAATTAATGGGTCAGTTGACCATTGATTCTTTCTCAGTCAGAGTTGGTGCTTTTGTGTCGCTTTCTTTTTGGTTGGGTGGGTTTGGTTAATTAATTTTAGAGGATTGCAATTTGTTAAATTGTATGGATCGATCTCTAACTCGTTTCATTGCTCACAAAATTGGTGATTAAATCCATGATATTTTTCTGATTTGGAATAATAATAAAAAAATCATAGTTATCACCATAATAAACAGAGTTAATTGCGTGAATTGTATAGGAAAAACATGCATGCAAGAACATCAATCACAGTCGCATCGAAATATGGGGATTTTTCCAAAACTAGCACAGTTTAAAAAAAATTCCAAAAATAGCACCCAACTCCGAAAAATTCCAAAAATAGCACCCTTTCTGCAAAACCGCCACCCGTACCAGCGGTTTAGGCGAAAACCGCCACACGGGAGCGCGTTTTTCGATGAAAACCGCACCCCCACCATGCGGTTTGGTTGCAGACCGCACCCCCACGATGCGGCCTGCTCTTTTTTTTTTTTTTAATCCTAACCTAGGTGGAAACTTCAAACGAACGTATATTTGTGTTCGGGTATCCGATCGTCGTGAATTTTTTTTTATTCCGCATAACTTTTCGAGATCTTGCAAGTCGAAGACTGTCGAAGGTGGTGTGGTCCCACCTTCGTCCCAAAAAATGTCGTTTGCTACCCCCGAACGAGCTTTTTTCCGATTTCGTCAAACTTTGGACAACCATAACTTTGTGTTCCAAAATCCAAACGACAAGAATTTTTTTTTATTTCGCATAACTTTTGAAGGGCTACAATTTTTACTAGGAATGAATTTTCAAAACAGGAATTATTTTTGGATATACAGGATTTTGGGAATAGCTTACCTTCCCTTCTCAGCAATCCACGTACATATTGAAATTATGTCTATGATAAAAGTTGTATTCCTTAAAAATTTATGCGAAATAAAAAAAATTTCATGCCGTTTGGATTTTGGAGCACAAAGTTATGGTTGTCCAAAGTTAGACGAAATTGGGAAAAAGTTCGTTCAGGGTAGCAAACGACATTTTTTTTGGACGAAGGTGGGACCACACCACCTTCGACAGTCTTCGACTTGCAAGATCTCAAAAAGTTATGCGGAATCAAAAAAAATTCGCGACGATCGGATACCCGAACACAAAGATACGTTCTTTTGAAGTTTCCAACTAGATTAGGATTTTTCAAAAAAAAAAAAAAAAAAAAAAACAGACCGCATGGTGGGGGTGCGGTCTGCAACCAACCCGCATGGTGGGGGTAAGGTCTGTAAAACCGCTCCCTGCCAGTGCGGTGTTCATCGAAAAACGCGCCCCCGGGTTGCGGTTTTCGCCTAAACCGCTGGTACGGGTGGCGGTTTTACAGAAAGGATGCTATATTTGGAATTTTTCGGAGTTGGATGCTATTTTTAGAATTTTTTTTTAACATACTGCTACTTTTGGAAAAATTCGCGAAATATGAGGCTGTATAATTGTATTTGTAATCACAAACCTGGCTACTCATAACCCATTCAAAGTGGATTCGGTCCAATGTGTTTTGTAGATTGCATGGAGAGGTACGTGGACCATCCAAATGGCGCACCTGAAATTAAAGTCAACAGAACTGAGCTGAGGTAAAGCTAGGGTGGGTGGCCGTGGCTCTCCGCAGGAAGCGGCATGGCAATGGCATGCAGTGGGCAGCTTCGGAAGGGTCGTTGATTTTTGCACCGCTGCTCAGTGGCGGAGTCAGTGCATACTAAGGTGAGTTCCGGGACCCATAAAATATATATGAACGCCTAAATAATAAGGATTAAAAATATATCGTATCAAAAGTTATATCGGATAAGTCAATAATAGGATATTTTATGTTGAAAACGTAGTTTAATCGTGGTTCAACCATTTCAGGGTTTATTCATTATATATCGCCAAAACTTTGTTTTGTTCAAACTCGCTAGATTATTTTTATCCTAATAATAAATTCAATATATCAGGTATTAAACATCAACTAGGTTATTATATGCATACTTTGACGTGAATATAAGCTAGCTATTACTAAAACTATATAGAATTAGGAGTTATTTTTCGAATCATGGTAATTGAAAGAAGGAACTTATTGTTGTTGCTAACTAAGGCTCTCCACTGGAAGTATTGAAATGACATTTTCAACGAGACACGTGAAAACACTCTTTGGTATCTAATGGGTGACAAAATCATGAATGATTATTGTATAGGATATATTGACATCGATATCATATGAATGCAAGTTCGTGGCCTGGGTGATACTGTGGCTAATATGGTACGACTTCGGCATATCGAATTGGTATAGGATTAGACTGGAAAATAGGTTTGATTTCGTTTTTTATGGTTGATTTTTTTTGTGTGTGTTTGAATTGTGAATGATTATAAGAAACTGAAAAATGAACTAAAATTAGACTACAAGATGTATCGATGAGTTATTATGATTTAATTAATCATAGTACTACTCATCGATCGATTGATTAGATTGGTGCAAACTGAATTGTTGTTCACCGCGTAAAAGTTATTGCATTTTCCCCCACAATTAATGGTTCTTAATTCAATGCTTTTTTTAGTATTCTTTTCAAGAGAAAGTCTTGGAAGTTAAGAACAAATTCCTACGGCCATTCTTTGTAAAGGGTTTGAACTCAAAGTGCACTCAACCATGTAGTGTGTTTGTGCTCCATTAAGCACAAAGTAGAAAGCAAAAGGAGAAGTCGACACTTGATATTGATTCGACGTACCTTTTTCATACAAGGTTTTCGACCCCGACAAATCCTAGAAAACAATGGAAAGCTGTGGAAGGGTGGGGAATTAGCCAAGCAACCAACAAAAACTAAGCATTCAAGGAAACCGCCCCCCGCCCTTTGGTTTCCAAATAGAGAGTGCTTGCCAATTAACAGTATTATTATTATTACTAGGCGTGATTAGGGCTGCAAACGAGCCGAGTCGAGTCGAGTTTTTGCTTAGCTTGAGCTCGGCTCGTTTATTAATTTTTCAGCTCGAGCTCGGCTCGAACTCGAATTTTGATAATCCAGCTCGAGCTCGAGCTCGGCTTGAATAAAAATAATCTAGCTCGAGCTCGACTCGGTAGAGCTCGATAAATGCTCATTAACATAGCTTGTTAAGCTGAGTACAAGCTCGGCTCAAGATGAGCTCGATTTAAAATCATTTTTGCTGGAAAAATGTATAAACATAAGAATTTAAATGATAGAAAGAACACTAGAAACTAGATATAACATCTAAATTTCATACACATCTGTATTATAAGACAATGTTCATGTTTAAAAGAGTAATTCATCCTTCCACAAGCTCAAAACAAGGCAGCTCGCGAGCTTAGCTCGACAAGCCACCGAATCAAGCTAGCTCGCGAGCTTATCAAGCTGAGCATGGTCTAGCTCAGGCTTGGCTCGTTAACTAACGAGTTGGCTCGCGAGCCGGCTTGTTAAATAACGAGTCGAGTGTCGAACGAGTTTTTTCCGATTCGAACGCCGAGTTGCTCGCGAGCGGCTTGGCTCATTTGCAGCCCTAGGCGTGATAGCACCATTGAATTATTGTTATTGACAGTAAAAAAATCAGAATACGGACCGAAAAAGAAACTAAAAATTTACTGATTATTCTAATTTTAAAATTTTACATATATTATATCACGTCACAGACTGACAACTACTTGGCCGAGGGAAATTAGGCCTGTGACAGTCTCACCTGCTAAGCGGAGAATTTCCCTGATCACCAATTCCCTCACTGACACAACTACTCTGCCTAGCTAGCTCTCACATCACATGAACTGCAAAAACTAAATTACTCAATTAAGAAATATACACACACAATCTGGAGTTTCTACTACCTAAAATAAATTAAATTTGATTAACACGGACAAAAATACAACATAAAAAAAGAAGGGAGAAAAGGAAGAACAGAATCGAACCGAATAATCTATCAATATATATCTACAACAACAAAAGAGGAGAAAAAGCAACCTACAGAATTAAACTACTCCCAGAATCACCGATAAACGATTTCAATTCAAACAGGACTGTCATCGCCGCCGCCGTCGGGATCGACCACGAGCAGTTCGCGATCGATTTTGCCGCGGCAGACTGGGCAGAACGGGTGCTTGGCGAGCCACCTGTCCGCGCACTCGATGTGGAATCCGTGATTGCATACGGGGATCCGCCGCGCGATCTGCTCCGGCTCGATGTCGTCGAGGCAGATGGCGCATTCGTTCCCCATCGGGAGCTCTTTCGCCGCGACCTCGGGGAGCTTCGAGAGCTCCGCCGCGGAGAGGCCCTTCTTGGCCGGCGGCTTCAAATCTTCTGGATTTGCGGCCGAATTGGGCGGGGGATTGGAGGCGAACCAGAGGAGGCAAATGTAGACGACGAACAGGGCGCTCATCCCGGCGCAGGGGAGGAACAGGGCGAGGAATACGGAGAGCAGCATCCCGCCGGTGTGGTTAGCGGCGGCGGCGGAGGAAGGTGAGGGAGAAGAGGGGTTTAGTACTGAGGGAGAGGGTGCGTACAGCGCACCCTGGCGCATTATAGAGAGGGTTTTCTTTTTCAGGGGAGGAAAGGAAGGGAAAAAGGAGGTGGTTGTGATGTTGATGGTGGAAAGCTGACGTGGCTTCCGAGTCTGGGGCCGCTCTTTGATTTTTTATTTTTATTTTGGTTGCTGGTTCTGGTGAAAATGATTTTTCTGTGGGTATTTATAGCCTGATTTGAGTGTCTGAATCTCTTGGTTCGGAGTAAATGGAGAAACTGTTGGAGGACTGTGAAAGGGGGAAGCGGGGTATTTATAGTCGATTGGAAATAGGGGTTTTGCAATGACTCGGCTGATACCGGACTCGGTGGATGTTCGAACTGAGTTGGACCCCTTGTTAATTATAATACGAGCAGATAGAATGATTGGACCAGTAGAATCACTGAATTGGGTTTAAAATTTATGTTCGGTCTATTTGATAGTATGGTCAAGGATTTTTATTAGATTGGTCATGAAATTTAATGAACCATCAAGAATGAACTAAACGCTATTTTTATGGTTGGATATGAAATCAGATGAACCATCACGATCTGACTTGTTCACGCTTTTCACTACAATTTTTTTTAATCGAAGTACTAATTTTACTTCTATTCCTCTTCGTCGTTTCCTATCTTCCTTATTGGATTTACACGATCCACTGCTAACAGCCATCTACATAATAATTTGGATTTGATACAAGTTTTGTATGAGTTCTTTTATAAGATAGTTTGAATAATCTATTAGAAGTCTTGGTGTAATGGTGTTGGATGATAAAGATTTGGAATTATTTTTGGTTAGTGACAAATCACATTCTAAATTAGTGTGATATTTATTTCATAATGTTTAAACAGTTTTGTAGATGATTAACTAACAGTTCTATAAAAGTTAATTATTGAACCGTGAACCACTAATTTTTTTGGTTCAACATTCGGCCAGATTATGCAAACACAGGTTAGACCATATATAATTTTATTTTTTTATTTTGATTTTATGAATTTTTCTTAAAAACCAAGTAAGAATTTTTGGAAATAAGATCAGTATCAAACCGAATTCAGTTTTCCGCTTTAAGCTTCAATTTTCTTTCAAATTTTTTGGTTCCCATTCGGACCTAAGTCGAAAGGTGACTAAATTCTCTATTTCCTTTCAGTGGCCGGGTTTGGTTCTCATACTTGGGCATGAGGGGAGGCAAAGTGTCATAATTGCTAATTTTGGTACAAATGGCGTTTCTTTTGGTTTGATATATTTTTAATTTATGTCTCTTCGTGTACTTGCGGGATGCAAATCAAACAATATAGTGCAATGTATTACATTAATGGGGAAAGATTTATTGGTGTTGGATTGGCATTGAAAGAGATGGAGATTCTTTGAATAGGGTTTCACTTTTTGTGTGTGTGCGAAATGTGAATAGAGAAGAATACACATACTTTTGTGTTCACTATTTACTCTATTTCTCTCTTCTTGGTTAAGAACTCTAACTGCAAGGCCGTTTGACTTCGGGATCATAAATTGAAGCGCAAAGTGGATGGTCGCGACTGAAAAGTGAAACAAAAGGTATGAAAATTGTTTTGGACGTACGTAATTTAGTTGTAGGGTTTGTTTTTATGTTTCAGAATACGAGTATCGGTTACACTTCAACAACAACAGCAGCAGGTGGCGTGTCGTCGCTTCCCTTCTTGGTTTTAGTACATCCACGGCGACACGTATCAGGAGTTGAACCCCACTTTTCATTTATGTCTACTTGGAGTCAGATCATAGTTAATATCAATGTACACTGAAACCAAGTATGTCTATTTAATCATTTCAAAATTTTAGATATGAGTAAACAACTCGTACGCTACATTCATATAATCAAAATTATTTTAAAAAACACTCATTTCGGTTGCGCAATTAATTGCAAGATTAAGATGGTCCTTTCCTAAGTTAAATCTCTTCTTTGACAACACCATTCAATGAAAAGTCAAAAAGGGTAATCAAAATGTATACTCCACTCACATCACCCGTTTCATTTTCTTTCTCTCTGTATTTCTGTGTGTTACTTAGAAGTCAAGCCAAGCATAGGTTTTAGTTTTGGACGCGTTTCGTGGGTGTCAAGCAAATGAGGGGAGGAGAAGCGTTGTTGCCAGCAAACAGAGTAATAATAATATTCGCTGTCTTCTTACTTGGCATACTAATTTTCTTCCTTAAAGAGACTTCTTCCTTTATTTCTTCCTTTCTTCCGTTCTTTCTCAGTCGTTGAATATGAGTGTATTGATAGTGGGTACTATGTTGATTCCACCTGGGAATATAAAAGGTTATCACTGTGGTGCTGTTATGTTCATTCTACTCTTTCCCTTTTGATTGTTTCATACCTAACTTTCAAAAGAACGAATTATTGTATTCGATTCAGATTATAGGTTAGTTGTAATTCAGAACCATATATAATCTGAAGGTGGTTTGACACTAAGAGCGGTTAAAATCGATGTATTATTTTACTAGGCAATACACAAGATTTATGATAATTATATCGTATAAATTAAAAAAAAAGATTTTACTTAGAACGTAGAGATTTTTGAGAAAATATTGCCGTTGCCTACTTTCCAGTGATATGAGACATATATATATGAATACAATAGGTTCTTCGGTCACGAAACTCAATGCTTAATGTATCTTTTAATGGTATTGTTGGTCAATTTGGAGGGACAAATATTTTGTATTTTTATCACATGAAACAGAATGATTTGGATATGTATGATTACGAATTCAATCTAACTTTTATGCACCTCTATTGTTTACAGTTATACTTTGTATAAACATGCTCTCTCGCATATCCTTTGTGAATTTCTTAAATATATCCATTCTACAAAGGGCATATAAAAGAACTTTTCATCATTTCAAGATAGAATCAAACAAACCAAAAGGTGTACAAAACCATATCATAATCCTTAATGCTGCAAAACGTATCCTCAAATAAATTTTGTAATGATTCATTAGGGTGCCAAAGGGGCAAACCTAGGGCACTCCTTTAGAGTAAATATTTCACTAAAAGGTTGGGTTGGACCTTTAATGGGACAATAACCCACTTTCTAATGATAATTAATAGTCACTTAGACATTCTTTGCACATTGTCTCTTTGATTAAACAGTTTTATTTGCTCCCCCTAATGATAGCTTATCGTCCACAAACTATGCAAGGAGGAATCATGTGATTGTTCTCCCTCTTTGTACTGGGACAAGTGGATGAATCAAGGATCCGACCATTTTATACCTTAATAAACAAATGGAGACTATTCTACCTTAATAATCAATAAAATGGAAGACAACAGAGAAGAGGGTGGAGGAATATTGTGAATTTGTGACGCCTCCAATCAGGCAATAAACGGCTGGTGGAAAAGTGAAATTAGTGGACAACTGGACATGACCAATTAGCAATATTTGGTAATGACAATTAATTTAAGAATATATCGCCCACCATCAATCTCTATAATAGTTGACATGTACGAGTCCTTGTTACATCTCTCCACTTACAATAAGTGTTTTGCGTTCGAATAGTATACAATAACTTTTTCGATAATTTATTAGTATATTTGTTTTGATATTGTTTAATTTGTTGCGATACATTGGGATTGAATAAGAAGCTACAAAACAACTCAGCTACAAGTAGCAAATGTGGAGTAAGCAGGGAATATAAACCATTTCATAATACTATGCGGGGAAAAGGTTATAAAGATAGCGTGAGAATGAAGGAGAAAATTGAGTTACTTAATTGGGCCCAACAAGAGCACAGGGCTACTGCAAGGAATAAGCATAGACCAAATTCCACATGTACATGTTGGTTGATGTTGGGCCTTTTTTGTGTGTGTAGTTTCGCATGAATAACATTACTTTTACAATCTTTCGAGAAATAGAACATTAAATATTATAGTGGTGCAGCGGAAGCATGGTGGGTCCATAATCCACAGGAGTCTGGATTGAAACCAAGCTTTGATATATGTTTTGTACACTTTTTTTTGCTCTTTGTACCACAGCAGAGATTCTATAAGACGGAAGACACAGGCTATGACTATCACCATTCCTTTTGTTGATCGAAATCATCTTCTCGATGGTAAACCACAAGCTGTAAACCTATAACTAATCGTATATAGATGGAATGGCTGGTGAATGACGAACTTTACAAGAAAGACACAGGACAAACTAGCAGCATGCGCCTGCTCTCACTGCCAGTTTAGTACTTTTCCCTTTCTCTGTCCATTAAACCGTACCGTACCGACGGTTCAACCACAAAATACCAGTATCGGAAGCTAAACCGATAGGCAGTATTTAACGGTACTAACGGTTGAACTACGGTTAAACCACGGTTTTGTCATAAAATACCCTATCGCTGACTTTTCCGGTACACTCTCCGGTATGGTTTCATGGACCATGCTCTGCAGGCATGCAGATCAATTTATTAACCTAATTGGTCTAAGATCCTACAACCATTTTATGAAGACACTGTTGAGCCGAGAAATAGCCGTAACAAACGAGAGCGGATCCCATGACTAGTGGGTCGGGGGTCCTTAGTCACTTGACTAAGTCCTGTTGTAAATGAATGAATAGCCTTGAAAGCTATAGAGTCTCAAGTGGAAAAACTACCATATTGGTAGTTTTACTTGGTGAAATGTGTATAAAGATAGGAGCCTCTCTCCTAAGGGCTTGCCCCTTGGGGTGACCCACTTTTATGGGAGAGGGAGGACCTAACGGACCACCACACAACGAGCATAAACACAATAGAGAGAGTGTTCAGAGAGTTTCAGTTTTCGCACAAAACCGCCGAGCATTCAAGGAGTTGTTTTATCCTAGAGACGACCGGTTGATAGTCTGTCGTGCGTATTGAGGGCAGTGCCGCGAACGTCTTAAAGAAAGCGACCTAGTCTGCGACTTAGCCCCAGATTGGGTAACCTTGTTCTTGTTGTTGTTCCGTTCCTAACAATTTTAAGACGTTCGGTTGCTGCTATGTCGACTGAACAAAACAACATGGCCGGATCTGGTGCTGTCGATATCAATCGACCCTTCCGCTTCGTGGGAGTCAACTTTCGTCACTAGAGACAAAAGATGGAGTTCTACCTGACGACCAAGAAGTTGGCACACTGCCTAACCAGCATGCCCGTCGAGCTGATGGAAGAAGCGACCGATGAGGAGAGGGTTGCTTCTGCTAAGGAAAGGGAGCATGACTTCCTGTTCAAGAACTATATCCTCAATGGCTCGGCATACGATCTCTACGATTACTAAGCGG